TCTTCATGAAAATCTGCACCAGTAAAAGAAATCCAGAATACATTTGTCTTATCCCACTTAGGCTGATGTAAATTGTATTTTTATTTTATGATCGAGTCAAGTTTTGAGAAATTTCTGAACTACTGAGCATCAGCCAAAAGATCTTTATCTCCTTAACAGCTTTGCCAAATACAGTAAATTTCTAGCTCAAGGAACTCAATTTTGGGTACTTTTTTCTTACCGTGAAGCTTATCGAAACTAACTGAATGATTTTTACTACACTGAAAACCACCCAATTTCTGCCGTGACGGGGTACCAGTTCCCATTTAACCTTCCTACACTGTACCAAAACACCGTCAAACCTCAGACCATTCAAATCGAAACATCGAAATCGCCCTTTCGAATGGTAGCTGCAACCGGATGACGGTTGTTTTGAAATCAGACGATTTTCCTCTCGAATACAGGATGAACATTGTTATGAGCAGGGATAGGGTCTTCAGTTGGAATGCGTAATGTTCTCTGCAGAATGATAGTCATCTTAAATTGAAATGCATTTGGTATTGGTTAAGCCCCATAACGCAAATCATTCAATACGATGATGTAAATAATTCTATCGAACGTCATTTGCTGTTCTAAGCAGACAAACGAGGTGGAAGCATAGCCATCACCACCAGAGGTGGGGCGAACATTGGTAAATGGTGAAAACCGTAGATTGACTATTTCGTCAAGGTGGTCGTGCGTGGTCTGCCCGATATGGAAATCGCCGCGCTGTCGAATGAGCTGAAGAAGAACGGCCTAAGGCCATCGCAAGTCTTCAGGATGAATCGGCACGACGCCTCCCGCAAGTACCGTGACCAGCTGTATTTAGTCCACCTCGAGCGAAACACAACGTGTTGGAAGGACATCGCCCCCGTAACGTCACCCAATGCTCAAACTGTCTCATGTTTGGGCATGGGACCAAAAATTGCCACATGGCTCATCGCTGCAACGAATGTGGCAAACAACACGAGCCCGAAGAATGCGAGAGCATGGAAAACGCCGATCCACAATGCGCCAACTGTGGTGCAGCACATTGAGCTACCAGCAAGTCTTGTCCGAAGCGTGCGGAATTCATGGAAATCCGCAAAAGGGCCTCCACGCAGAACCAGCCGGGTCGGAAAAAGGTACCGGCACGCAATGAGCAGAATTTCCCCGTCATTAGCCTACGGCGTCCGATTCCGATTCTTCCGCCACTACCGCTCAACAACCGTTTGGCTGCTGCTGCTGCTGCTGCATCGGTCCCGCCAACTGCTGAGGTGCCAAACCATCCGGTTGATCCGAGCCGTCAGTCCTATGCGGCAACGTTTTCGTCCCCTCCCCCGGGTCTATCGTGACGTCGAGATGATGCCCCACCGTCGCATGAAAACGAAGAGCTACTCACAACAGAGGAACTTATTACCATCATGGCAGAAGCAATCATCATCAAGCGCTCCTGCAAAACCAGAACCGAGCAGATTCTTGCTGCATCACGTTTCATCGACAATTATGGACCGTGAAACCATCAAGATCGCCAACTGGAACGCTTGTTCGCTCAAGAGAAAGATTATCGAGTTCGTTGACTTCCTCAACAAACAAAACATCGACATTGCCGTTATCACCGAAACCCACCTGAAACCGAAGGTAAACGTCTACCTTCCTGACTTTCGGCTTCTAAGACTAGATTGCTGTAAGGAGAAACATCTGCTGTCGGCTTCTGCCGAGCTTCCAGCTGAAAACCATCGAATAGGGGTAGAAGTCTCCACTCCTGTCGGCCCTATCACAGTCATTGCGACGTACTGCCCCAAGCAAATCACCATCAGGGACGGGTCGGCAGCAGACCTCCGGAGGGACATCATCAAACTAACTCGACGGCGCGAAAAGTACATCATTGCTACACCAGGCTTTAGGGCAATAGTCGACGCAACCAAAACGGCACCATCCTCAACGACGACCTGCAAGAGGCTCGCTACACCATATTAGAGCCGGACTCTCCCACCCGGTTGAGCCGGTCTGGCGTTCACTCCACCATTGACATCCTCATCAGCAACATGGGAGACAACAACTCGCTACCTGTGACCCATCAGGAGCTGAGTTCGGACCACTATCCGGTGGTGGCCGAAGTAGGCTCATCTGCCAACTGATTCCAAGCTTCCCGACACAACTACCATCATGTCAGCTGGGAGCAGTTCCAACACGGTGTCGACTCCACTGTCGACTACGGTGTCCTTCCGGAGACGCCCGAAGACGTTGACCGGTGTCTGCGTTCCATCGAGGAGGCGATATTCCGGGCCAGGGACCAACACGTGCCAGTATCCAGACAGGTGAGCAATACTCTGAACCTTGATAGAATTACCAAAGATCTCATCAGACTCCGTAACTCCATCCGAAGGCAATACCAGCGTTCTGGTTTGCGTGTCTTGAAGACCCATTGCAATCGTCTTACAATAACCATCCAAGCCAGGATGGTGGACCTCAGAAATCAAGATTTTGCTAACAAAATCCGCTCTCTCCCAGATTGTGCAAAGCCCTTCTGGAAACTAACGAAAATTCTTAAAAACAAGCCCAGGCCCATTCCACCACTGACCCCACTGGATCGTCCCGGCAACCCAGAGGTTCATCTGATAACTCCTGAAGAGAAGGCTCGGACAAAACATCGTCAGCCTTTATGAATCTGAGGTTGCTGAAAATGCAACCAATCTTCATCAGATTCCTAATATTTTTCCAGAGGAATCGGAGATTACGGCTATCAAATCATCTAAAAACATGAAGGCCAATGGTTTCGACAACATCCTGAATCTGGAACTCAAACACTTGAGTTCCAGATTCTACAACCATCTGGCACTGATTTTTAATCAGTGCCTCAGACTTGGCTACTTCCCCTCGTGTTGGAAGTCAGCTAAAGTCATACCCATCCGGAAACCTGGGAAGGATCCGTCCTCACCTTCAAGTTATCGATCAATCAGCCTTCTCTCAGGGTTATCAAAACTGTTCGAAAGAGCAGTCTACCACCGGCTCCTAAAATCTGCCGAACAAAACAACATCTTACTCGAGGAACAGTTTGGTTTTCGGAAAGGTCGTTCGACCGTCCACCAGCTGACACGAGTGACAAATATTCTCAGACGGAACAAGTCTGTTTCGAAAACATCTGCCATGGCGTTGTTGGACGTTGAAAAAGCGTTCGACAATGTGATGGCCTGGTGTTCAAATTGCAGCAGTACGGTCTTCCAATCTTCCTAGTGAAGAAGTGAAGGTAATAAACAACTATCTATCAGACAGGACGTTCCGAGTCTCTCTGAATGGCATCACATCGGATGCTTTCAACATCGGTGCCGGAGTTCCACATGGAAGCATCCTTGGCCCCATTCTATTCAACCTGTTCACCTCCGATATGCCGGCTCCTCCTGATGGTGGATCGTTGTCTCTGTTCGCAGATGACACATCCATCGTCTACAATGGTAGGGTCATCGGAGCTCTGACTGCCAAACTTCAGAGAGGCCTGGACGTCCTGTCTGAATATTTCAACAGCTGGAAGATCCGTATCATCGCGGCAAAGACCCAGGTCATCATCTTTCCACACTCAAAATCTCCCAGACTTGTTCCGTCTGAAAATAATAAGATCTGCTTAGACGGCTCAGTGGTGGAATGGTACCTCGGGCTAACATTAGACAGCAAGCTTCTTTTCAGGGAGCACGTTGACAAAACTAAAACCAAGTGCAACATCTTGATAAGATCGTTGTATCCACTCATCAACGGGAGGTCTACCCTGTCCCTGAAAAATAAGCTTGCTGTCTACAAACAAATCATCCTTTCCGTAATAGAATACGGGATGCCAATCTGGGAGAGTTGCGCAAAAAGCCACCATCTTAAACTTCAAAGAATCCAGAACAAGATCCTGAGGATGATCCTCAACACTCCACCGCGGACTAGAAACTCTGAGGCCCACCGCCTGGCTGGTCTTCAGACACTGGAGTTACGGAGAGCTGCCTCCTTCGCAAGGTTCAGAGATTGCTGTAGGCGATCCGACCAACAGATCGTCAGGGATCTGGCACGTTAGGTTAAATTAGGTTAAGTAGGTAGAATAACAAATTAAAACATTCAAACAACATACTTCACAAGAAGAAAATTGAAAAACATTACACAGTAAAACACAACATGTACAACACAAAATCAAAAAGTTCACCAAAGATGAAGAGCCCTTCTGGCTAGCCTCTTGCCCTGTATTAGCAATTGTAAACCACATAACAAATCAAAAATAAAGAAGAATTTTACTACTATTGACTATTTCGTGGTGGAAGTAAGTAATTTTTGTATCCATGATGAATGGTTGTTCAATCTACTCTAAAGCATATCCATACATTATTGTCCTCTGAGCCCTGTATGTGTTACAGCCAATTTTCAAATAAATATCATCCTTTATTTGGAGGACAGTCATATGGATGCTCATCAGTTGATGACGAATTCTGGAAATTCGACAGCGTATTGTCAAAGGGCTCGATCAATACAATAATCAGTCGAAGTATTGTGGATGTTTTCGTTCAGTGTAGGTGTAGTGTAGGGTCATTTTTGGATTGGAAACACTGTTTAAATTTTTCCTAATGCATTTAGTAAGGTTGAATAACACGGTGTAGAAAAAAAGAAATGAATCCGTTAAGCACATAAGAGATACACTTGCCATCTTGAATGTATCATCAATATTTATGGAAATCTTTTTTACATTTTTCCAAATTTCAAGTTTTATTAAAGCTCCACGGAACACTAGAAAGGGTTTGGTGGAGCCCTATGTGCAATATAATCATGATTTTTCCAAAAATTCACCTTTCTGATCTTATATTTGAAATGCATTAAATTTACCTACTCGTCACAAACCACCTTCTTCCATAGAATCCTACCCAGACATTTGCAACTACATGCGTGTCCCACAGAAAGGCATTCATGCCATGTTCTACAACGCACTTTCGTCACCCATAAAACACTATGCTCACAGAAGCCCACAATCCACTCACCACTCGCGAATAGCACTGCGCATCCGTCACGTTCATACTTGGTGCGCCACATTGTACATCTTGCAAACTTCCCGGATCACTGATGCACTTGGCGTCCAGAACCGACGAACAGATGACGCACCTGTGGATGGCCGCACTGAGGACATTGCAATAATCACTGCTGCACTGTTCGCACGTACTTCCTGCACACGGCTCGGCAGCCGTCAAATCCGAAACGCATCCCCGTTGAATCGGCACATCTGATCAATTAGGATAGGAAAACTTCTTCATTAGATTCTGCTGGAGTATGCTCCGATCCGTTTCCGATTTCTTACATCCATCAAACTTGGTATAGCAGTTATCCTGCGAACTGCTACAATTCACCCGGATGCCCAGATCGGCTCCGTTCACACATTCACCTCCGGAACACGAATAACAGCTCAGAGCTTCGGCCGCCTGCGGCCACACTCCGCCAATGGCAAATACTAAAATTACACTTTTGAGAACCATTTCGAACACTTTCCGTCACATCTATTACAACTTAGTGCGCGCTACCATTCGGAAGCATTTCTTTTTATACGAACGAATGCGTGAGTTTATTTCAGCTCGAGTGCTTCCTAAACAGTGCTTCATGAACTGCGGTATCAGATTGCTTACCGATGATAACAAAACGCATCTCAAGTGCATCTGAGTACAATTGTTGCACTTAATGCTCCCTAGATTCACGTGACTTACGCCGATTGTATTTTCGATTCTTCCCTACAGGGTGGCTTCCGACTTGAGGTGCTCGATCAGAAGGAGAAACCCATCATGAACCTGACGCCAATCGTTAAGGGAAAGCCATTCCTTAGCGAGGATGTGACGTAAGCGTGGTTTGACTATTATCGATCGTTGTAACGTTACAAATATTTTGATTTCGGTTTCTAGGGCTCAACAGTTCCAGGTATCGCTGCCGAAGGACTTCACCTGTCCGGATTGTACGATACGGTTAACACGGCAAGCGGGCGAATGGGGCAGTAACTACCTGTTCTGGTCCTGTGCCGACGTGGACATTGTTCATAGGAAGGAATACCATGAAACCTGCTCTGGACATGGAAAGTCCTTTGCACGATGCAAGTGCGAGAAGAAGTACCACGGTAGTCGATGCGAATTTTGGGATGAATGCGTCACAAATCAGGACTGCGGTGTCCAGGGAACCTGCGTGGATCTGGGAGGAACATCGATGCCTCGTAAGCAGTGCTACTGCCGGCTGGGTTGGTTCGGACCAGGCTGCAACAAAAGTAAGAATCGATGGTGTTGACTTTGTTTCGATAGCGATGCGATAACAGCACTGTTTGTTTGTTGTTCCAATATTTACAGAATCGCCAATCAAATCCACGGACATCGATTACTCACTGTACAAGTTGAAGAATTTATCACCCGATCTGAACGTGTACTGGCGTGTGCTGAAGGAGCAGAGTGAAATTGAGGTGGTGATGAAGGTGAACGGATCCTCGTGGGTTGGTTTGGGATGGCGTCCGAGGAAATTGACGGCTGAATGTAAGAACTTCCCGCTGATTGTAGGCGAAGCTGGCTCAGCAAAACCGGAACCGGGTGCAGAGCCTGAACCGGGAGCGGAACCAACTGCTGAACCAGAACCAGGTGCTGAACCGGAGCCTGGAAGTGAACCAGGTAAGTTGAAACCCTACAAGTGTTTGAGTGCTTGAGTTCGAGGTTTGATGTGAAACTTTCCATTTTGTACGTAGAACCGGAGGCTTCTTCGGAACCAACTGCAGAACCAGGTGCTCACCCGGAACCTGAACCGGAGAGCTCATCGGAACCGGAACCGGAACCCAAGTCGCCGAAGGCTGAACCGGAACCCGAACCAGCTGCATCTGAACCGGAACCGGAGGTTGCTTCGGAACCAGAACCAGAGAGCACCTCAGAACCAGAACCATCTGCAGAGGGTAAGGCAGAACCTAGTGCCGAGCCGAAGGCGGAACCCAAATCCAGCAAAAAGAGCAAACGTGCTACTCAAGGTAAGTTCTCCCATTTTGTTGTGTGCATACATAGATTGTTTGCACTTCAGCAACCCTCAGTTCTCATCACCAATATTCCGCAATTCTCAGATTCTCACCCGCCATCGAGTGAACCAGAACCGGAATCGTCCCCGAAAGCAGAACCGGAACCCAAATCCGAACCCGCCTCAGAACCGGAACCAAAAGCGGAAACCACAGCCAAACCAAAACTAGCCGCCCAGAAGAAAGCCAATCCATGGACCCCACGGCACGACTTCAACCCCATGGACTGTACGGACATTGTGATAGGAACGGCCCGGGAGGAAAACCATCGCGTCTGGGATTACTACACCCGAGACCGCTCGACACCACGGTTGGACACCTTCTGGGGTGGCAAATCGGATCTCACCGCTACGGGAGGTTTCGAAATCGACGGCGTAACGACGATCGTGTTCCGTAGAAAGCTGCAAGCCAATGAACCGACTGATCATTCGTTCGTGGACGATCTGATGCACGTGATCTGGGCCAAGGGTCAGGAACCGGGAGCGTACGTGCATGTGCCACCGTCCGGACTGGAGAAGGACATGGCTAGCGTGAAGGACTTTTACATGCCCGATGAACTGAAGTACCACGGTCACCGGATGCAACGTGGAGTTACGCAGATCAATTTTTTGGGTAAGAATCGATTTTGGTTATCTCTGATCAATTGTTCTAAATTTCTTTAAAAATTCCAGAGGGGAAGAAACTGGAACCGATTAAATCTGCCAACGGATCAACGATAATGTCAGCAGACGGAGTCATCGTTCCGTCCGGTCCCAAGAGCCATGAGTTGGAGGATGAATGCCAAGGTTTCTGGAAGTTCCCCAGGGATTGTGAGCAGGACAAGCACAACTGTGAATACTACGCCAGTTGGCAGGTCACCGGAAAAGGAGAATCCATGCATTTCCACATTGAGACCAACAATACTGGAACGTGGACGGGAATCGGCTTCAGCAAGGACCAGAAGATGTCCCAGACTGACTCCATCATCGGATGGGTTGACTTAAATGGGAGACCATTCCTGATGGACACCTGGATCAATGGATACTCGCCACCAAAGCTGGACGTTGGTCAGGACCTGTTCAACGCATCGGGAAAAATCCAGGACGGTATGACCATCTTGGACTTTAGCAGGAAGCGTGACACCATGGATGAGGGTGATTTGGCCTTCACGGATGATCAGTGCTTGTATTTGATGTTCCCTCTGAATGGAGGAATGTTCAACCCGGTCAATAAGAAGATCCGCAAGCACGAGTCCACTCCAGTGGTGACGGACAGCCGAGTTTGCATCAAGTCGTGCCCAAAGTTGTTCGAATATCTTTTCAATCCAGCTGTCACCCCGGCTCCGGATCGCATTGCCTACAGAGCGTCGATCATGCTGACGAACTTGGCTTCCGGATTCGTGGTTCCAGAATCCGGAACACCAGAGTACAATGACCTGTCGAAGTCCGTTACGGAAACGTTCAACGGTATGCTCAAGGGCGTTGGAGGGTTCCACAAGACCGATGTTGTGAATTTCGAGAAGTGAGTTGAGCTTTTGAGTTATTGAAAATATTCCTTTACAATGTTATTAATTTTTTAAGGAACGTCAACGGAGTTGTGGTCAATATGAATATTCTTCTGAACAAGGACGGTATCGAGAGCAACTTGGTGGATGATCCGGCGAAGCTTGAACAAACCATCCAACATCTGATTCAGAACAATTTGTCCTCCGGCAAGGTTGGTGCTCTGTCGGTAGATCCGGATTTCCTGGAATTCGAAGCCTTGGAATGTAAGTATTTTACCCCTAAAATCCTTTGAGACTTTACAGTAACAATTTGACATCACAGACAAGCAACCAATCAAAACCGAACCGTCGTTCTTCGAGCGCGCTGGAACCAGACTGTACACGATCTTGGGTTGTATCGCTGCACTGGTGTTCATTGCCATCGTACAGGCCAGCTGTACCATCTACAAAACCAGAACGACAAAGCGCATGAAGGTTGTAGATCTCACTCCGGAGAAAAAATGTGTTCAAATAACTTTCAAAATCATCCTGATTTCAGGAACAACTTATCCCTAATTCCGCCTGGAAGGACTATTCCTCGAACACAAACTATGCATTCGATAACTTCGAGGGTGACGTGAAGGGCGGCCATCAAGGTAAGCACCGGTCGGACCGGAGCTATAGCAACGGTAACAGCCAGCAGACGACACTGCAGATGTCGCACTCGCCGAACAAGTCGCAGTACTACGAGATCGATCGGACCGATGGAATGCACCGCAGCAACGGCGATCACAGGTAGGCCCACGTTTGCGCTTAATGGAATACCAGCATTGTTGACTTCCGCAACAGATGTCGATAGTAACAGTTTAGTTTGTATGTAGATTGTCGGTTTCACTATTACAGAACTTGGACATTTCTTGAACTTCTCTTCGGAAGACCCTAGAGTACCTCTTTGTAAGCTCGTTTTACTTCCTCTGGGAGGCTTAAGCACCGACAAACCGACATGAAACTTAAACCTAAATCTTGATCGAGAATCCATAACGGCCGATGCAAATATGCAGTGATCCCATCTGTCAAAACCATAGAATTCTTTTTATCTTGAAAAAAATAATTTGCCTTGGGATCTTAGCAATCTGGTTTTTTTGGACGAAGTCAGTTTTGATAACCGTGATATGCTGCGGAAGAAGGGCTATGACATTTTTGGTCAAAAAAAATTCTGTATCGCGGTGAGTTTTGCAGAAAGCCACGAGTTTCCTTTTTGTGTTTCCTCGGCGTAGGTGGAGTGCTAGAATGCTTCTGGACTGAGGGAACTTTTAACAGAAGAATTTTTTTCGAATGCTGCCGGAAGTTCGCCTTGAAAAACAGGGAGGTGGAACAGTATCCAGGTTTACATTCTGTTTGGATTCTTGACGGAGCAAGAATCCATTGTGATGTGAATCTGATACGCTACCTACGTTCGATTGACATAGTTCCGATATTTTTGCCTCCGTATTGTCCGTTTTCAACCCGATTGAGGTAGTATTTGGCCTCATTAAACGGTTTTTGAAAAGACAACACCGTGAGGGTTCTCCAATATTGCCATTACTGCGATAAAACGGGCAGACAACACCACAAAAAGTACAATTTGAGACGCACTTCTAAATCAGTACCGATGGTTTTGTTATTGTCGACACAGCTGACAATATTGCAGTGTTCCAAAACATTTAATTTTTCTAAAAAATCGTGTCGGAAGTGAGCCAGGTTCCCTAATAAAAATAACAATAAAAGAGAGCTTAACGACGTATTCGGGGTATAATTCAAACCATTTGTGGGATAGTTTACCCATCCGGGATACAGTTCGTTTATGGTATTTTTTTATTAGGGTTGCCAGTTTACCGGCGACGTACATATAATTTTTATTTAAACGCACAATATGGTGTTTTCGTTTTAGGACATTTATCGTTTGCACTCTAAATTAAAACACATCACTTCAAATGTTGCACAGCTGTTAGGGGCCTCAATACAAATCGAAAGAGTAATAAAGAGTTAATATTTTTGACCTACCCTTATACTCAGCACTCCAAATAGAGTGATAGGGTTGATCAACATTATCAATAACCGCATGGATGATGATAAAAAGTTTTGATCTCTTAGTGATGTTAAAACCTTAAAATTGACTTCAAAAACTAAAATACAGCAGCAAATGATATTTTTGGGTATGTTTCGTTTATTTTCCTAGCATTTGACTGTTAATTGTGGGTCTATTGTGTCTCGAAATGTTCAAAATAATTATTAGAAACATGACCTGTGTTCATTTAGTTGCACTAAAACTGAATTTCTCTGATGAGGTGACGGGCTTACTCGCACTTCCCCTACCGATAAATTTTGAATAGTTTGAATAGTAGTTTCCGACTCACTCATCCCCTCCGCTAAGTGTCAAGGACAGCTGCTAATACGTTGTAAAGAAGAAGAACTGCGAAGACGTTCTGACCCAAGTCCCTCTCTGAAATACAAGAGTAAACACAATCTATCCCTACTGCTACTACGCTTTTTACTTCCTCGGAATAGATCGAGCTTCGCTGGCAAAAGTTTTTGGAAACTCAAAATCAATTGTATGCAAATGGATCTGCTAATACGAGCGAGACGGGACTTCACACGGAAGCAACGGAAGGGTATTTATCGACGATTTGGAGCAGCTCAGCGGCAATGGCCTTTGGAATTGTACTACAAAGAACCTGTGCTATTTATTGACGAAGCTCGAGACCGCTTCCAGAAACGTTTCAACACTACTATTAGTGCTGCGTCCGTCATCCGGATTCTTCATACAGCAGGACTAACTTGGGAAAAAAATCGAGAGGCGAGCAATCCAGATTCGAAAATCGAACATTCTGAAGTACGCTGACGAGTTGGATTCCATCAGGTGGCAGCTTCATCAAATAGTTTTCCTGGATGAAGTTTCAATTGACTCCAGGAATATGCTTCGGAATCATGGATATGGTGTCAAAGGACAAAAGAGTTCTCTACCGTGGATAATTCAATCGGAAACGACGTGAATCTTACCTTTGCTTTCTGGGTCAATCAGAGATGTTAGAGTCATTTAGAACCGAGGGTACTTTCACCCGCAAAAAGTTTTTCGATTGTATTATTAAATTTGCTTCTCAGAAACAAAGAGTAGAAACGTATCCTGGGCCCCATTCGATATAGATTATGGATGGTACCAGAATACATTGTGACAAAAACATCATTTTATATCTTCGATCTCTTGGAATTTTACCAGTATTTTTACCTGCATTTTATCCTATGTTTAACCCCACACAGCAAGAAACCAATTTCTATAACAATCACCGAAACTTTTCCAAGATTCAGAAATTATTCATGTACTCACTTGTTTCACAAATGTGGTTATATTTCTGGAGGTCATTTTGACCTTAACATCGTTTTGAATCAATCAATGAACGATATTGGATTTTAGAAGAATATGAGTGTAAGAAAGTAAAAATTCATCGGATTCTTTGCAACGAATAAAGTTAGAAAAATAAAAGGTAAAATCAAATTCAGTCAGCCTTTATTCCATAGCAAAATGCATAGCGATACAAAACATCTCAATCAGGCGTGGTCAATATACATCATATCACCTACTTGCTCTCGTAGTCCTCGCCTGAGAACAGTTTCCTGTGGAGCAGTCGAGGTTTGCATGCCACTCACCCTGTCCCGGCAAATGTTCAGTTTTTCCTTCACACCTTGAGCCATCAATTTAACATCGAACACGAAATTCTTTAGTTGATCTGCTTTATCACAAAGCTCTTGAATACTGGAAGAAAGATTGTCCACAATATTTTGTGCAACGGTTAATCCTTGGCGTGTACATTCCAACTGAGTACTTTCAGCAGTAGGTATAGACCAAAACATTCATCTCATATCTCATATCTGCTGGTGGCATTTGCTTCTTTGGTTCTTCTTGCTCGGTCGATTTCAGCTGGTAGCAGAAGACTCTTGTTCACTTCATCCCAAATTGCCACTGAACTAACAGACTGCAAATAAACAAATGCAAACACAGTCATGGTCCTTTCGCGCCAGTTCAACATGATCTTTCCTTCTCCAATCTGGTCAATCTTGATCAAATTCTTCCGTTTGGTGTCCTTCAGGTATACGAATTTTGAATTGTCACGGATATCAGGTTTCTCTTTTTCAGACCAAGACACCTTGATGCCATCCACTTCACTGACATCTATTTCGCAGCACAAGTGCGGTTCGACGAGTTTCCAAAGGCATTCCAAAACTTCCGAGAGGGTATCGACACTTTTTCCGGCACATTCTTTTTGAAATTGATGCACAAACGACTCTTCTGCCTGATGTACTTGTTTATGACATAATCAGCCAAGAAGAATAACTTCTTTTATTGTTCTGGATCTCCTTCTTTCGTTTTCTTCGCACGAACTGGACTCGTCATCTTCATTGGGTTTTTCCACATCTTCCGGAATATCAGGAGTCTTAGCGTACCGTTCTTCCAACCCGCACTCAGCAGCTAGTGGGTCCACATCCTCCTGAGAGTCGTCCAGTTATTCTTCCTCTCTTGCGCTTAGGTTTTCAGGATCTTCATCAAACTGTTCCATCGCTGTGGATAAAAATCTTATTATTAGTATCCCTAATAAAAAATAACCATAAACGAACGATAACCCAAATCATTGAACTATTCCACTATTCCATTCAGAACACGTCGTTAAGCAAATTAACCATACAATTTTTATTAGGGATGTTCTATTCACAAAAATGTAATGAGCATCTTACTTGAAATTAAATGGTATCAGCGTTTGAGAATCTTGCAAAGCGATCAGAAAGAAACTCCAACTTTTTTCGTTGCTCGATCCACATTTGACAGCTGTTTGTTTTGCTTCTTATCTCGAAAATTACTGTTGCCAGATTTAGATATTTTTACACAATTTCACCAAAAACTTGCTGGCAACCTCACTGCGGCATTTAAAATGAAAAAGTGAGCAATTGGTGCGGCGTCTACGATTCAGTGGATGTCTCAATATCGAAGTTTACGTTTGTGTTTGGCCAATCGTGGCTGGATCTTAATTATCGACTGTGTTGTTGTCAATATTAATATTCGTCTTCATCTTGGATGGACCATTTAATTTTCAAGTTATTTTGCTTGAAAAATATCAATTTTCTTGCCTTTGTTGGTTTGGTAGCGACATATTAAACATATTAAACTCTGAACTCTCGTCCGACTATGTGATTTATCGTCTCGATCGGAATCCAGCCACATCTCAACTGCTACGTGGTGGCGGCGTACTGATCGGTGTCAAAAAGCATTTACGTTGTAAGTTGGTTCCACTAGTTAATGCCAACTGTTTAGAGCAAGTGGCCGTGTGTGTTTCGTTGCCAATGCAGTCGGTCTACATATGTTGCGTCTACTTAAGGCCTAACTCGGACTGCGCCATGTACTCCAATCATGCATCTTGTGTTCAAGAATTGTATGAGCTTGCTGAAACTGCCGATACAGTCATAGTTTTGGGAGACTATAATCTGCCTAGACTATCATGGCAATTTGATGCCGACATGAATTCTTACATCACGACCAACGCTTCATCTGAACAAGAAATCGCTCTGACCCAGTCGATCCTTGCGTGTGGATTACAGCAGGTTCAGGATGTACGGAACGTAAACGAGAGATTACTTGACCTGGCTTTCGTTAGTGAAACTGACAGAATCGAACTTTTCGAATCGCCCTGTGGAATTTTAAAACTCGACGCTCATCACAAATCTTTAATCATCAAATTTGACTACCCTCGTAATACTGACGACGTTGG